TAATAATTGGCCATGTCGTGAGTCTTGTGACAATATGATGCTGATCCGTATAAAGTATTTATCTTCAACATTTTATAGTAAAAGCGATGCCAAAGATTACGTACTAACTGCGTCCTTTGCAACTTCATTAAGTTGCAGATAAGATAAGCTAATTTTGGGACTATGCGCTGAATTAAAGGGCAGTTGGCAACGCTAGCTACGACAAAACATTTCATGGCTCTAAAATAGTTTGGAAGGGATTACACTCACTGAGCGACTTATATTTTTGACTGTTTTTGACTTTTCAGCCTTCTCAGTCACGTAAAAGAAATTTGTATATACAACAGAATATGGCAGACATTCGTTGAAAATGACTAAGCGTGCAAATATTTTTATTTCCTCATCGTTTTGCCTTGAACGGAAATACAAGCGACATTGAATGAGTTTCGGAAAATGAACTCAGGTATGTCGATATCGAATGGCTTTCAAAATTTTAAAAACAGTCACCTCAAACCCGACGCCATCAGTAGCTTAATTAGTAGCACATTTTTAAGCCACTCATTATGGTTATTGATTACCAATTGAGATTCCAGCCTACATTTACGAATGCCGTCAATCATGTTTTGTCGACGTACGATTGAATCATCTCATTGGCATACTCGACCAGTATAACACATGGAAGTTGGTTGCAAGATGACGGAGTTTTTTTGACGATCTAGTCGTGATTGTAGCGCCGTTAGTTAGGGGCTGAGTTGTATAGTGTCGTAGGTTGAAGATAAGTAAGTTGATGGAGGTCGGAAAGTGGGTCGAGAGTGGGAAATTTGAGGCAGATAGTGCAGTGGATAGAGGAAAGAGAAGTTGAGGAAGATATGGCAATGAGACGAGGATAAAGAGGTCGAAGGGGATGGGAAATAAGGCAGTGGGTCGAGGATAGGACTGTTGAGGGAGATAGGGCGGTGGGTCGAGGATAGGAAGGTTGAGCTCTTGGTCGAGGGAGACAGGGCAGAGGATCGAGAATAGGAAAGTGGAGGAGAAAGAGCAGTAACTTCACTGGCTCTGAAGTCTAAACCAGAGACCGGCAAACTATTACTGCCCCCTATCTCCATGACCCACTGCCCGACCTCCCTCAACGTTCCTATCCTCGACCCACTGCTCTATCTCCCCAACTTTCACATCCTCGAACCACCGCTTTATCTCCCTCAACCTCTCTCTTTTCGACCTACTGTCCTACCTCCCTCAACCTACCTATCCTCGAATCCACTGCCCTATCTGCCACAACTTACCTATCTTTGACCTACGGTGCCATACTATTCGGTACCTGACCTAACGGCGCTTTATTCACGACCCGATCGCCACACTGAACTTTACTATCTTGCGACCAACTTCCATGGGTTATACTGGTCGTGTTTGCCAATGAGATGATTCAATCGTACGTTGACAAAACATGATTGACAGCATTCGTATATGTAGGCTGGAATCTCACATATTAAACAATAACCTTAATTGGCAGTTTAAAAATGTTTTACTAATTGGGCTACTGATGATTTTTTGTTGGGAATAACAGTCTTCTAAATTTTAACAGGCCATTTATGCCTTTAATAATTGGCCCTGCCGTGAGTCTTGTTACAATATGATGCTGATCCGTATAAAGTATTTTTCTTCACATTTTATAGTAAAAGCGATGCCAAAGATTACGTACGAACTGCGTCCTTTGCAACTTTATTAAGTTGCAGATAAGATAAGCTCAATTTTGGGACTATACGCTGAATTAAAGGGCAGTTGGCAACGCTAGCTAAGACAAAACATTTCATGGCCCTAAAATAGTTTGGAAGGGATTACACTCACTGAGCGACTTATATTTTTGACTGTTTGTGACTTTTCAGCCTTCTCAGTCACGTAAAAGAAATTTGTATATACAACAGAATATGGCCCAACATTATTTGAAAATGACTAAGCGTGCAAATATTTGATTATTTCCTCATCGTTTCGTCTTGAACGGAAATACGAGCGACATTGAATGAGTTTCTGGAAATGAACTCAGGTATGTCGATATCGAATGGTCTTTTGAAATTTTAAAAACAGTTTCATCAAACCCGAGGCCATCAGTAGCTTAATTAGTAGCACATTTTAAGCCAATAATTATGGTTATTGATTACCAATTGAGATTCAAGCCTACATTTACGAATGCCGTCAATCATGTTTTGTCGACGTACGATTGAATCATCTCATTAGCATACTCGACCAGTATAACACATGGAAGTTTGTTGCAAGATGACGAAGTTCTTTTTGACAATCTAGTCGTGATTGTAGCGCCGTTAGGTTAGGGTCTGAGTTGTATAGTGTCGTAGGTCGAAGATAAGTAAGTTGATGGAGGTCGGAAAGTGGGTCGAGGGTGGGAAATTTGAGGCAGATAGTGCAGTGGATAGAGGAAAGAAAAGTTGAGGAGATATGGCAATGAGATGAGGATAAAGAGGTCGAAGGGGATGGGAAATAGGACAGTGGGTCGAGGATAGGACGGTTGAGGGAGATATGGCGGTGGGTCGAGGATAGGAAGGTGGAGCAGTTGGTCGAGGGAGACAGGGCAGAGGGTCGAGAATAGGAAAGTGGAGGGAGAAAGGGCAGTAACTTCACTGGCTCTGAAGTCTACACCAGAGGTCGGCAAACTTGCGTCGTTTGCAGGCCAAAATTACTGCCCTATCCGACCTCCCTCAACTTTCACATCCTCGAACCACCGCTCTATTTCCATCAACCTCTCTCTTTTCGACCTACTGTCCTATCACCCTCAACTTACCTATCCTCGGACCCACTGCCCGACCTTCCTCAACGTTCCTATTCTCGACCTACTGCCCTAGCTCCTTCAACCTTCCTATCCGCGACCCACTGCTCTATCTCCCCAACTTTCACACCCCTCGAACCACCGCTCTATCTCCATCTACTTACGTATACTCGACCCACTGCCCGACCTCCCTCAACTTGCCTATCCTCGACCCACTGCCCTAGCTTCTTCAACCTTCCTATCCTCTACCCACTGCCATACCTCCCCCAACTTTCGCATTCTCGAACCACCGCTTTATCTTCCTCAACCTCTCTCATATTAACCTACTGCCCTATCTCCCTAAACCTACCTATCCTCGAAGCCACTGCCCTATCTGCGACAACTTACCTATCTTTGACCTACGGTGCTATACTATTCGGTACCTGACCTAACGGCGCTTTATTCACGACCCGATCGCCATACTGAACTTTACTATCTGGCGACCAACTTCCATGGGTTATACTGGTCGTGTATGCCAATGAGATGATTCAATTGTACGCCGACAAAACATGATTGACAGCATTCGTATATCTAGGCTGGAATCTCAAATATTAAACAATAACCTTAATTGGCAGTTTAAAAATGTTTTACTAATTGGGCTACTGATTTTTTTTTGTTGGGAAAAACAATTTTCTAAATTCTAACAGGCCGTTGTATGCCCCTAATAATTGGCCATGTCGTGAGTCTTGTGACAATATGATGCTGATCCGTATAAAGTAATTTTCTTCAACATTTTATAGTAAAAGCGAATCCAAAAAATTACGTACTAACTGAGTCCTTTGCAACTTCATTAAGTTGCAGATAAGATTAGCTTAATTTTGGGACTATGCGCTGAATTAAAGGGCAGTTGGCAACGCTAGCTACGACAAAACATTTCATGGCTCTAAGATAGTTTGGAAGGGATTACACTCACTGAGAGACTTATATTTTTGACTGTTTTTGACTTTTCAGCCTTCTCAGTCACGTAAAAGAAATTTGTATATACAACAGAATATGGCAGAGCATACGTTTAAAATGACTAAGCGTGCAAACATTTTATCATTCCCTCATCGTTTTGCCTTGAACGGAGATACAAGCGACATTGAATGAGTTTCGGAAAATGAACTCAGGTATGTCGATATCGAACGGCCTTTCAAAATTTTAAAAACAGTCACCTCAAACCCGACGCCATCAGTAGCTTAATTAGTAGCACAGTTTTTAAGCCACTCATTATGGTTATTGATTACCAATTGAGATTCCAGTCTACATTTACGAATGCCGTCAATCATGTTTTGTCGACGTACGATTGAATCATCTCATTGACATACTCGACCAGTATAACACATGGAAGTTGGTTGCAAGATGACGGAGTTCTTTTGACGATCTAGTCGTGATGTAGCGCCGTTAGATTAGGGGCTGAGTTGTATAGTGTCGTAGGTCGAAGATAACTAAGTTGATGGAGGTCGGAAAGTGGGTCGAGGGTGGGAAATTTGGGGCAAATAGTGCAGTGGATAGAGGAAAGGAAAGTTTAGGGAGATATGGCAATGAGATGAGGATAAAGAGGTCGAAGGAGATGGGAAATAAGTCAGTGGGTCGAGGATAGGGCGGTTGAGGGCGGTGGGTCGAAGATAGGAAGGTTGAGCAGTTGGTCGAGGGAGACAGGGCTGAGGATC